CCCCCCCCCCCCAGCCCTCATGACTTGTATCCTATACTGAATATCCCATGCCCGCGGCCACATGCCTGTAATGCCTACTTCCCCACCTAATCTTTGCCCTTCTACCCAATATAAGCAGCTGGCTTATGCGGGGGGCAGAGCAGATTTTTGTGGGTGACCTGCTGCTCTCCCTGCTGCCGGCAGGATTGGAAGAAACGCTCAGATAGCATCCGACCCTCTTTCTGCTGAAGTGGCTGAAGTGGTGACAGGCAGCCCGGACCCCTTGGTTGTCCGGTTACAGAAGGGTTCGGGCTGTTCACACTGCCAGACAAGGAACCCAATTGATGTCAAATGTTAGCAGGCTTTTTGGCCTCCTGCCCCGTTCTAGGCCTCGGGACTCTGAGATCCAGCAGGACCACAGTGTCTGTCCTAAGACACTGCCCCAAGAGCTTCCCCGAGATCTTCTAGTGGTCACCCCAGCAATGCCACGTGGTAGTTACTCATTTTATTCCCCTTTTAGACGTAAGGTGATGCTCACAGAGGGTTTAAGTAATTGGCTGAAACTCAGCATTCAAACAGGCAGATGGACTGTGTCCTGCCTGGGGCATTTCCCCTCAGCCCATGCATTTTCTTGTTGAATACTTCTGTTTTCTACTAGTGGCCCAGTGCATGAAATTCATCCACATTAAAAGGGAATTAATTAGAGGAAATATTTTAATATTGCTATTTGCCCTTGCTCTATAATAGAAGTGTCAGAGATGAAAGAAAATTAGTAAAATGTACATGAAAATCTTCCTCCTGTCAGAGTCTGGGGCACCGAGGGACCCAGAGTCAAGTCTCCGCCCAGCCGCGTGCACCTCGAAATCATCTGAAACCCAGACCTGGCCAGCCCCACCCCCATTGGGTGAGACCCAGGCCCACTGGCCCACCCTCGTCAAGCCCCGCTAGGTGGGGGGTACAGCCTCAGGTCTCCCGGCCCGGTGCTGGGTGAGGGTGGAGCCGTAGGTCCCCAGCGCACCCTCAGGTCCCCTGGCCTGGTGGGGGGTGCAGCTTGAGGTCCCCATCAATCCCTGCTGGGCTCAGGGTGTGGCCCGAGGTCTCTCGCCCTGGCCCCAGCACCACGGGGCCTCAGGTCCCTGCTGATTGCTCCTTTCAGCTCCTTATGGAAACCCCGCTTCCACTGTGGGTGCAGCCATCTTGTGATGGTGTGAGGGTCAATTTGCATATTACCCCTTTATTATATAGGATTTAAAAAAAAGATTAAAAGCTATCCTGGCTTTCTTTATTTTAGACTAAAGAAAGGGATGAGTTCACTTGCAACAGGCAAGTGTTCTGTGAGCACACAGTGTTTATCCTGGAAAGAGGCGCACCATCAACATGTTGCTTGGCAACAAGCACGTTTCCAAGCCTCCAGCTGGAAAGCAAATGCCTTTCACAATGTGAACGTGTTCTCTTTCCTTGAATAAAGCAAGGACTCAGCTTTTTGTTTCTTTTTATGAACACATTGCTTTTTAAAAATGTATTTTAGACGTGCTCTGGAGAGGAAGAAATAAATGCCTTCACAATATGTGGGCCCCAGGGAGTTTTCTTCACAAAGTCCATTACGAAACCGAGTCATTACTGCATGTTCACAGGAATCTGTTACCGAGTCATTTGCAGAAAAAAGACATGAAACTCCATGTTGCTCATAAGTAGAAAATGAGCTCTTTAAGCTCAGATTTACTCTGCCAATGGCCACGATTCCCCCTTCACACCGCAGTTCTGAGGTTCGATGGGCTGCCAGGCAATCCTTACATTCCCACCTTGATGTCTACCTTAAACTTTAGCTGGCAGGATTTTGCTGGGCCTCAGAGGACACGTGTGTCTCCTGGCCACTTCTACTTTCCTCTCATTCTAACCATCCACTTGCCTTTGACGGTTTCCCCATTCCTATAACCAGCCTCTTCCTTGAGAAAAAGCCTGACAAACACTGTGGAAAGTCCCGACAACTTGACCGATGAGCAAGGGCCTAGTACTCAGCCTGAAGTCTGTCCTTTGCCTGTAAATTGGAGATTCCTTCTGAGGCGATTGTAGGATAAAATCAGCGACACGCTGGAGCACGCCAACGTTAAATCCTGTGAAATCTTAGAATAAAGTCCGAGGAGGTGAAAAGCTAACGAAAGCAGAAAAAGCTCTGGACAAGGGTAGGGGAACTCTGGGAGCCCTTGGGGTTTGAATGAAACTGGCCCTGGAGGCACAATCCAGGCCCTGCCTGCTGAGGAATTCCCGGTAGTTGAAAAATTTACATAACAATGGACACTTTCTCCCCCGCCCTCAGCGACTCCTCCAGTTCCCTATACGCTTGGATATTAGCTGAATTTAAAACTCTACAGGATGGTCAGACAATTCTGGACCTTGCCAAGACGTACTATTTAGCTGCTCAAAAGAATCCAGGGGTCTTTCTGTGAAAAAAATCCGTGGAAACGTTAGTGGGTTTGGATAAAAAATGAAACTGGGGACAGGCAACTTACTGCCCTAACCAGGCGATGCAAGATCGAGAGCAAATCAGACTAGGCCGCCTTCCCTTTGCTAACTACCGCAGCAGCAAATACCCCAGTTGCATAGATAACTTTTACTAACTAGGCGGGGGAGAAGCAGGCTTCTTGCCTGGAACATTTGCACCGCTTTTGGAGCTACAGATCTTTGAGACATTGTGGGTGGCTCTGAAAAGAGCCTTTGGGTCAGGAGTGAAGCCACGGGCTCGCGCCTCACTTGGAGCTGGTGTACTTGGTGACGGCCTTGGTGCCCTCGGACACGGCGTGCTTGGCCAGCTCGCCGGGCAGCAGCAGGCGCACGGCCGTCTGGATCTCGCGGGACGTGATGGTCGAGCGCTTGTTGTAATGCGCCAGGCGCGACGCCTCGCCCGCGATGCGCTCGAAGATGTCGTTGACGAACGAGTTCATGATGCCCATGGCCTTGGACGAGATGCCGGTGTCGGGGTGCACCTGCTTGAGCACCTTGTACACGTACACCGAGTAGCTCTCCTTGCGGCTGCGCTTGCGCTTCTTGCCGTCCTTCTTCTGCGCCTTGGTCACGGCCTTCTTGGAGCCCTTCTTCGGGGCGGGCGCCGACTTGGCGGGCTCGGGCATGGTCGGGAGAACTCCTGAAGCACTTAGAAGAGAAGTAGGGAAACAGTAAGACCAGGACTCAACGCATCCCTTTTATATAGAGCCTCGTATGCAAATAAAGTGATAAATTACAGTTCCGTGTCTGATTGGTGGTTATTCACAACAACGTCAAAAAAAATGAGTACTGTCCAATCAGAACGAAGGAATGCCAAATTTGCGTTTTGATTGGGTAAGATGAAGCCGCAGTCTTAACCCATGATACAGATGTTTCGCGCCCAAAAACGTTTATAAAAAAGGGCCGCCCCCATCCTCTCAACACTTCCTGGGAAGTTTGTAAGCGCATCATGTCCGGACGCGGCAAGCAGGGCGGCAAAGCGCGCGCCAAGGCCAAGACGCGGTCCTCGCGGGCCGGGCTGCAGTTCCCCGTGGGCCGCGTGCACCGGCTGCTCCGCAAGGGCAACTACGCCGAGCGCGTCGGGGCGGGCGCGCCCGTGTACCTGGCGGCCGTGCTGGAGTACCTGACGGCCGAGATCCTGGAGCTGGCGGGCAACGCGGCGCGCGACAACAAGAAGACGCGCATCATCCCGCGCCACCTGCAGCTGGCCATCCGCAACGACGAGGAGCTCAACAAGCTGCTGGGCAAGGTGACCATCGCGCAGGGCGGCGTGCTGCCCAACATCCAGGCCGTGCTGCTGCCCGAAAAGACCGAGAGCCACCACAAGGCCAAGGGCAAGTAAACCGAGTGCGTACAACCTACTGCCTTTTAGTTTTACCCAAAGGCTCTTTTCAGAGCCACACATTTTCTCAAAAAGAGCCAGCTTTGGTGCTGCTTCCCTACTGTGCAGGATGATCACCTTCCTCCATAGTCACTGCAGTTAACTGTGCTTAACTTGTGATTCCTGCTACCGAGAGCCACCACAAGGCCAAGGGCAAGTAAACCGAGTGCGTACAACCTACTGCCTTTTAGTTTTACCCAAAGGCTCTTTTCAGAGCCACACATTTTCTCAAAAAGAGCCAGCTTTGGTGCTGCTTCCCTACTGTGCAGGATGATCACCTTCCTCCATAGTCACTGCAGTTAACTGTGCTTAACTTGTGATTCCTGCTCTTGAATGAGGTCCTGGGAGAGGAGACTGTTATTAAGGCTTTGAGTTTGGGGGGAGCCAGAAAAGGAGACGCTTGCGAGTTTCAGTAGACAGTAGGGGCAGTTTGGCTCGGTGTTGAGTAGTTTCCCTAGGGAGGAGGGAAACCAAAGATAAAAGGGAAGGTAAAGAACGTCACAAAATACAAGTGAGTCTGTTCTCAGCGCGTGGTCCTCAGATCTTTATGCCCCAAGACAGGTCCGCTGAGCCAGAATTGGCACCTCCCCAGGATACCCAAGTGGTCCCTTACTTACAATTTGAGGTACAATAAAGAACTTTAGAAAATTCCTTTTTTTCCTTTTTTTTTTGATCACAGACTTGTTAAACAGATCAGAGTGGAGCAATTCATCAGCTGTCCAGTAATTCACTTGTTTAAGTTCAGCCAATGGCTTCTTTGCGCGGGACTTTTGAAAAAGAGTACAACCAATCAGCATGGTTTTGAGGGTGTAGAAGGGTTGCCTCCGCTCCCTATCCCCCTTTATTCAATTTAGTTGGTTCCCCTCACTGTCCTCCAAATGGCTCGTACCAAGCAGACGGCGCGTAAATCCACGGGCGGGAAGGCGCCCCGCAAGCAGCTGGCCACCAAGGCCGCCCGCAAGAGCGCGCCGGCCACGGGCGGCGTGAAGAAGCCGCACCGCTACCGGCCCGGCACCGTAGCCCTGCGCGAGATCCGCCGCTACCAGAAGTCCACGGAGCTGCTGATCCGCAAGCTGCCCTTCCAGCGCCTGGTGCGCGAGATCGCGCAGGACTTCAAGACCGACCTGCGCTTCCAGAGCTCGGCCGTCATGGCGCTGCAGGAGGCGTGCGAGGCCTACCTGGTGGGGCTGTTCGAGGACACCAACCTTTGCGCCATCCACGCCAAGCGCGTCACCATCATGCCCAAGGACATCCAGCTCGCGCGCCGCATCCGCGGGGAGCGGGCGTGAGCTCCATCCCACCCACTTGCGCCGGAACCCAAAGGCTCTTTTCAGAGCCGCCTAGAATCTCAATGAGAAGCGCTGTGGGCCAAGGACTGGGACATGAACTTGGTTCCCCTCCTGCAGCTCACAGCTTGTAAATAAGCGTGAGGTTATTATGAAGAACGCGACTATCGGCTCAGAATCCACACCTTGCGCAGGTGAGATACTAATTAGGTGGTAATCTTAAAGGGACAGCCAGACAATAGGTCCTCCCTTTCCTCCCACAAAGGCCGCGTCCCGAAGCCCCTCGGGCAATGCAGGATTTGTGGTTTCGCGCACATTGGCGATGGGGGCTCCGAGCCCGAGGCGGCTGGGAAACACTGGCCTCTTCAGTTGCTAAGTAAACGCTTTGCGCTTAAAGTGGAGCCGAGGCTCCAGGCCTCACCACAGAACCTGGCTTTCCCGGAACTGACTTCACCAGACTCACAGGCTCTCAAGAGCTACCCATTTATTTAATTTATTTAAAACAATTCCGATATATTTTCATTTTTAATCTGTCCTGAGGTTTGTGAAATTGGTTTGGGACATTGAGGTGATCTGTTTTCATAAGGGACTGGGTGCACTTGCGCAGCTTGCCTCCTGCGGGGGAAGTGGGACTGCTGGTTTCAGAGTTTCCTGTGATGTTTCAGATGCCCCCCTAGGCCCCTCTGGGGCTGCTCTGTACCCCACAAGTGAGCAGGTCATGTGCCAAAGTTGTCCCAAGATAGGAGCCTCGCTGGCTAGCGGGAAGAGGATGTAAAGGTGAGTTTCAGGGGTCCCATGGGTGCTTAGCAATGGGCTGAGTTGTTTCCCTGTGTGAAGACTGGAAGGGGCAGAAATAGCACCTGAAATTCGGATGATATGGACACACAGTGTGAAAGGTGAGGTTCTTTACCCACAAAAGGTTGGATGCGGGGGTGCATTTTCGGTTGGCCCCTCCTACAGCTTTGTTCCCATGTCTGGTCATTGATCACTGGGAAACATGCTACGGGAACATCTTTGGTCTTTGTTTTTTTAAAAAATATTTTTATTGATTTCAGAGGAAGGGAGAGGGAGAGCGAGAGAAATAGAAACATCAAAGATGAGAGGATCATTGCTCAGCTGCCTCCTGCACGCCCCCTTATTGGGGATCAATCTGGCAACCAGGGCATGTGTTCCTGACATGAATTGAACCTGGGACCCTGCATTCCCAGACCGATGCTCTCTTTACACTCAGCAAAACCAGCGAGGGCTGATCTTTGCTTTTTAAAAGTATATTTTTTTATTGATTTCAGCAAGGCAGGGAGCGGGAGAGATAGAAACATCAATGATGAGAGAATCATTGATCGGCTGACTCCTGCACGCCCACCCCAGGGACCAAGCCCACAACCTGGGAATGTACCCCAACCAGGAACTGACCCGTGACCTCCTGGTTCCCAGGTGGAGGCTCTACCCCTGAGCCGCAGCGGCTGGGGCGACCTTAGCTTTTTTTATGTCACTCCCATGTCAGTGTACAGTTAGAAGTGAGGCAGCTTTGGCTTTCCTGTGAAATATTTTTCCTTTATTTGTCCTTTGTCACACAGAATAATGAGGTCAATGTTTATGACAGTTGACAATACGGATTTCTAATGAGCGTATTGGTGGCAGAATGGAAGGCTCTGCCCTGAGGACTTGATAGTCTGGGGGAAAGTCGCAGGTTGGGCAACGCTTGGATCTTGCTAGAAATGTGGTCTCAGACCCACCCAGGCCCCTCAATCCCCAGTTCTCCTGGGGTGATTCTCATGAATGCGTTTTAGGAACCTACTCTTTAATGGTTGGTTTTGGTCTCACCAAGAAAGTCAGTCTTCTGTGAACCCTCAGCAGGAGTAAGATTTGCAAATCCCAGCGTAGAATAGAGAATAGCTAATTCTGTTCCCAGCATAGTATTTAGTATTTAGTATTCTCTGAAGCACTGACCCACAACAACGTGCACCGAAGGCAGTTTGATTTTATTATAGATCTGAGGTCTCAATGCTGACTGCTCATTAGAACTTGGTATATCTTCTTAAATGAGCTGAGAGGAAAAAAAAAAAAGGCAGGATTGAGGCAGATAGGACTGGAGCTGCTGTAGCAGATGGTTATACTTGGAAAGTATATGAAAAGAGTAGCGTGTTTTCCATCACTGCTGCAACTCCAAACTCAGCCTGTCCTCGTCCACAGAAGGCACTGAGTCTGACCTTTCATCCTCGTGCTGACTGCACACAGCTGCGTACGCTCTCAAGCACTATTTACTGCAAAACGATGATTTAATTTTAATGAGAGTTGTATTATCTTACTTTCTCTCCCACGGAAACAATTCTGGCCAGTATTTACAATTCATTTCCGTTGTACTGGAAACGTGTCCTTCAGAAGACGCAAGAACTCCCCAATGTTCCCTCTTGCTTTTAGACATGACCTGTGCCATGTCCCCTGAAATTTATTTTCCTTTCATGTTTAGTAATTAAACACTCCAACCTTCCTTTGCAGTGAGGTACGGCCATTATTTTTGGTCAATGGTATCTTATACCATCCCTCAGGTCTTAAAAAAAAAAAATGGTGGGGTTATTCCCTTCTCTTTTTTTCTTCCTTCAAGACAATCTGAATGTGAGGGCTGTAGCTGGTGCCAACATCTTGGTCAGGGCCCATGAAGAATGACGAGGATGACAGGTGGGAAATCACCTTAATGCAATGGTGGCCTCAAGAATCCACTGCCAGGCCGGCCATTTCCAAGGTGATGGAACAGAAAGGGTCACAGACCAATAGAAGTTCCACGAGTCCCATGACTTAATTGCATTGAATTAATTTTAAATGCATAGCTAGAGCCCTAACTGGTTTGGCTCGGTGGATAGAGCGTCGGCCTGCTGACTGAAGGGTCCCGGGTTTGATTCCAGTCAAGGGCAGGTACCTGGGTTGTGGTCTCATCCCTAGTGGGGGGTGTGCAGGAGGCAGCTGATCGATGTTTCTCTTTCTCATCGATGTTTCTAACTCTCTATCCCTCTCCCTTCCTCTCTGTAAAAAATCAATAAAATATATATTAAAAAAATGCATAGCTAGAAACAAGGGGGGAAGAGATTGAGCAAGTTGACACATTTCAGATACATTGCAAATGGGCAGCCAAGTCTCACATCTTTCTCCCTCCCTTTCCCCTTCCCTCTCCCTTCTCCCTCCCGGAGACAGTGGACTTGAGAACGAGAGTCGAGGGAAGGGGCCCAGCCGACGGGAGGCTGTGCAGTTGGCCCTGCATCTCTCCCACAGAGCAAACACGTTGGACCAAATAAACTCAACCTCTTAACTACAGTCCAAATATTGAAATGTGCACTCCACGCCCTCAGTTAATCCCTCTCTTGCTGTCTTCCTTTGCCATTTCTCTTCCTCCATCTCCCAGAGCTGCCTCCAGGGAACTTGGGAATGTAAGGTTACGTCATGTCAGCTTTTGGCCACGCTACCCCCTGGTTTGATCACCTTAATGTCCAAGCGAGGAGACACGCCCTTGAGGACACTGCTCTTTTCCTAAAACCTGTCACGTAGGCTCTCAAGAAGTGAACAGTTTCCTAGTTTCTCCACTCAGCACCCCAATTAGAGAAGAATCTGCACCAAGCCCACCTCAGCCCCATGATCACACAGGAGAGGCCGGGAGGGGGGGGCTCCTAGCCCAACATTTCGGGTATCTGTGCACTTGTTAGTGGGGGCCATGTTGAAATTCCGCAGCTGAAACAGCATTGTTGATTCTCAGCCTGTTAAGGGAAGAATGCAAAAGCCAAAGACACTACCCACAACAAACAGGCCTTGTTCTTGGCCTGTCTCAGGTTTCCTCCTCATCTCCTTCCTCCTGTAAAACCCATTTAATCTTCCAAGTCTAAATTGCCTATCACACGGCTGGAGGTTTGAGATACTCTCCAAGGACCCCCTTTTGGTTCCATAGCCTCCACCCAATTCCGTATATGCCAGAAATCAGCCTTAATCACAGCAGCCTGAATAACTCAGAGTCAGAAAGCACACGACCTCTATATATCCAATTTGCCCCAGCATACCTGCAAAGAACTTCCTCAGAGATGAGAAAAGTGGCGCGCACTAGAGCTCTTTATGTGAAGGCGTGGGTGGCTCTGAAAAGAGCCTTTGGGTTTGACAGGGGCCAAAGCGCCTCACTTGGAGCTGGTGTACTTGGTGACGGCCTTGGTGCCCTCGGACACGGCGTGCTTGGCCAGCTCGCCGGGCAGCAGCAGGCGCACGGCCGTCTGGATCTCGCGGGACGTGATGGTCGAGCGCTTGTTGTAGTGGGCCAGGCGCGACGCCTCGCCGGCGATGCGCTCGAAGATGTCGTTGACGAAGGAGTTCATGATGCCCATGGCCTTGGACGAGATGCCGGTGTCCGGATGAACTTGCTTCAGCACCTTCACCA